TGATTTACCAGTCCCAATTCCCTGGTCCCTGTAAGCCTAAGTTGGGGGCCAAATAGAAGTAGGAGAGTGAGATAACCTATTAGGATGTCAGACTTTTGTTTCAAATATTCTTTTTAATTCATATGGCCAACATTTTCTCACCCGACACTCGATAGGCTTTTGGATGGAGGGGCGATGTAAATGGTAATGAGGGCCACAGCTTTTGAGCCATGCCATTCAATACAAATATGAGAGCCATGTCTATAATTAAAATTTCTAGTAACCTCACACACACACACACACACACACACACACACAAAAGAAATAGATGGAATTAATTTTTAAGTCATATATTTAAGTCAATATATCCAAAAGGTTAGCATTTCAATCTGTATCCATAAAAACACTATTGAGATATTTTACATTACTGTTCATTTTTGTGTTATTCTGCAATTATTTTAAAAATATATAATCCTTTACAGCAGTTTGAGATAAGGATCTCAAGGAGGCAACTATTCTTATTTGTTAATCATGCTAAAGGAGGCGCGCTATAAAAGCAAATTAAGGTGGAAGACAGCCAGTAAAGTAAATCTCAAAGGTATGCACTGACTTTCCAATGGGCGGGACTTTCTTCCTTCCTTTTTTTTTTTTCAGTATTGCCCCAGAAAGTCCTGATCTTCCATTTAAAGCCACAGCTTGGAGCACAGTGCAGCTGTTCACAGCTCTCAGGTCCACCACCGGCATGGCCTTGAGCAGCGTGCGGGTGCTGGAGTTGGCTGGGAAGTACCCTTCCTCCCTCCGTGGCATGATTCTCGCCGACTTTGGAGCCCGGGTGATTCGCGTGGCTTGGGACCAAAGAGACATGTTTGAGTTTGTGAATTGAGGGAAGCAGTCGCTGGCTCTAAATCTGAACACTCCAGAGGGTGCCGTGGTCCTGGAGAAACTCTGTCTTCAGGCTGATGTGCTGGTCGATCCTGTCCCCGGTGGGGTGCTGGGCCCGGGAAAACTGTTGCCAGAGGACATGCTGCAGAAGAACCCGAGACTCGTCCATGTGAAAGTTTCCACTGAAATGAAGTTATCCAGTAAGTATTCCCAAAGCAGAGGGCACGATATCAACTTTCTGGCTTTATCTGGGGTGCTGTCAACATTTGGCCGGAAACACGAGAAACCGTATGTACCACCCAATTTCCTGGCTTCCTCGACCGGAGGGTTTCTTGGTGCCTTTGGGACGGTGATGGCTCTTTTTGAACGTGCCCTGTCTGGGAGAGGACAAACAGTGGATGCGAATGTGATAGAGAGCACAGCGTACGCGAGTTCTGCGCTGTGGTACCTGCAGAAGATGAACAATTTCAACGGAGTCAAGGTAGACAACCTCCTGGATGGGAGCGCGCCCTTCTATGGCACCTACCGGACCTCGGATGGGAAGTTCATGGCCGTGGGGGCTGTTGAAGCCCACCTCTATGAGCTCTTTCTGAAAGGACTCGGGCTCGATCCTTCAAAACTTCCCAAGCAGCTGAGTTTGCCGGACTGGCCCAGGCTGAAGACACTCTTTGCCGACATCTTTGCCAAGAAGACGCAAGCCGAATGGTGCAAGGTCTTTGGGGAACTGGACGCCTGTGTGACCCCTGTTCTGACAGCTGAGGATATTTCTCAACTTGCGAAGGAGGAGATGGGCACTTCTTTTATCACAGATCAACAGCAGGTGATAGCTCCCATGCCAGTTCCCTTTTTTTCCAAAACTCCCGCTTCTGTCCCTTTCACGCGGAATGCGGTCTTAGGAGAACACTCAGAAGAAATTCTCAGAGGATATGGGTTCAGCAAACAAGAAATAGCCCGGCTCCATGTTTTGGGCGTCATTAAAAGCCGTAAGTCAACAGCTAATCTGTAACATAGAACTGTCCAACGCACCCGTTTTGTTAAGTAATCCAGTGAGTTTAGGTTGAGGTGTATGATTTGGGGAAATTATGAGTGCTTTCAATTGGGGAGAGTTCCTTCCCTATGTTAAGATGAAATCTCACACTCTCAGAAAATGTAAAGAATGCTGGCATGTTTGAGATGTTAGCCTTCAGTAATTTTTATACCAAGAACAGGCTGTGGAGTGTACATGTAGTGTCATGACTCTGATTGTAGTCCAAGTCAGGATTGAGTGTGAGAGGTATTATGCCTAAAGTCATTTTAAAATATTGTCTCATGCATGGAAGCATGGGACAGAGTGTGGAATCTTGGAGGGGGTAATCAACCAAAGGCCTTGTATGCATTATGCATAACCTATGGACACAGACAACAGGGTGGTGAAGGCCTGGGGCGGGGGCAGGCTGGAGGGGTTCAATGGGTGAAAAAAGGGGGCATATGTAGTACTTTCACCAATAAAGATTTAAAAATATATATATAAAATATTGTCTCATGTCTAGAAATTGACACAAGTTCCTACATGATCACACTTATATAAAAAAAGATAACTATTTTCTTGGGTGTGAACTAGTGGGGGGAAGGGAGAAATACAAGACTTAAAGTTTATGATTATGATGTGTTACACGGTGGGGCAGTATGGAAAGAACACTGCTAGATGGTTATACTTTACAAAATGTAAAAACATTTACTTTAGGACTCAAAGTCCAAACAAACATGCTCACTGCAAAGCACGAGGAATTCCGTACTTTAACATGCGTGATGTGTATTTCCCCTAAGTGGTCCCTTTGTTTATGTCTTTTCTTTCTTCCTTCTTTCCTTCCTCCCCTCCCTTCTCTCTCTCTCTTTCTCTCTCTCTCTCTCTCTCTTCATATAAATGACCTCATCTCACAAAAATGATCTCTTCTTTCTAAATCAAGTTTTCTCTTTATCCCTATGGAATTTTAACTTTCTTCTTTTACCTTTCTGGGCATTGTTCAAGCAAACAGGCTTCTTTTCCTTCAAACTCTAAGTGCCTTTTAATTTTTATGGATTTAGGGAATTTAAATAAAGCTTCAGTGGATTAGCTTATATAAATAGAGATAAATAAAGTTCATAAGCCAAATAAATCTATGTCTATTCTGAAGGGGCTCAGACACACCGGGTAAGTAGACTTCAGGCCTCACTATAGCGTCTGGCAGACATGCCTCTTGCTGACTAATATGCTGAAGTGTCCCCAGCGCTCTTTCAGGCCTTCAGCTGCGAGGGGGTGGGGTGGGGGGGTACATACACTCTTCTAGCCTAGAAGTTTGTGTTTGGCATCACCACCCTTCGCTGCATAGAAAAATCACACCCCCTCTGGGTCAAAACGACAGGGAGTAGGCAACGCCTGGCTTTGGCAGTCTGGGAAGTTACTATAAAAGGAAAAAAGGTTGAGAAAGCAGGGAAAGCAGGGTGATACACTGGCCAAAGCCAGTTAAATGCTGGCTCCCTCAGCTCAAGAGACCCTTTGAAGTGCACCTGCCCTCAGAGATTTTCATGACACATTGTCTCAGATTTGGGGTTAATTACAATTATAAATTTAATGTATTTGTCACAGTTCCAAGTGCATAATAAATGCATTGAAAAAGTTAGCTATTATTACTCAAGTACAAAATTTAACATTATTTTTTTGAGAAGCAATGAACTTGGTAAAAGTCAGCATTTGTCTACAAATTGTTTTCTCCTCCATCAAAGAGATAGGGACTAAGGACTGAGGATTAGATATACCACCACTGAAAGAATCCACATGAATGATGATGCACTCCTCTAAAAGTATCATGTAAGTCAATAAGAAGATAAACAAATAAAAACTTAACTTTCTGCAATTTTTTCAAAATCATAATTATTTTTTAAAGTGAGGAGCATATGCTTAATACTGAAACTTAAAGTTTATTTTAGCAACAGAAATTAGTACAGTATCACATCATCATGAATGCGTATCTGAGCTCCTTTTCTATCATGTAGATCCGTGGTTGGCAAACTGTAGCTCGCGAGCCACATGCGGCTCTTTGGCCCCTTGAGTGTGGCTCTTCCTAAGCCCTAGGAGTACCCTAATTAAATTAATAACAATGTACCTACCTATATAGTTTAAGTTTAAAAAATTTGGCTCTCAAAAGAAATTTCAATCATTGTACTGTTGATATTTGGCTCTGTTGACTAATGAGTTTGCCGACCACTGATGTAGATGCCTTGATGGCTTGCAGGTGCCAATCTATGAATGCCCCACCTGCTTAAGTGCTTGGCACATTCCCTTCCTGTTCACTGCACAAGAGCCTCCTTATCACAGCCAAAGCCTTCCCCACACACCTTTCCTGGTTCTCCCAAATTCGCCACTTATCCGTTAGACAGGCCCATTGTCAAGCTCTAGCAGTGATGAGAATCATATGGGCTGTTTGTTACATACAGGTTCCTGGGCTCCCACTATAGATACTGGGTGTAGTAAACTGTAGTGAAGCCAGGACTCTGTTTTTTAACATATTACCAGGGCAATTCTCACATGAGGCACAAGAGCCTCCTTATCACAGCCAAAGCCTTCCCCAAACACATTTCCTGGTTCTCCCAAATTCGCCACTTATCCATTAGACAGGCCCATTCTCAAGCCATAGCATTGATAAGAATCATATGGGCTGTTTGTTAAATACAGGTTCCTGGGCTCCCACTATAGATACTGGATGTAGTAAACTGTAGTGAATCCAGGACTCTGTTTTTTAACATATTACCAGAGTGATTCTTACATGAGAGACCCAATGACCACCCTTGGAGAAACACTGTCTTAAGAACAGTGTACATCTTCGCTACTCAAAGTGTGGGCCACAGGCAGCAGCATCTGCAATAGATGGAGCTGGTTAGAAATACAGAATCCAGGCCCCCGACACTTTCTGAAACAGAACCTGCCTCTCCAGGTGATTTGGGTGCACGTTCAAGTCTGAGGTGTTGAATGGATCACACAAAAGCAATATGTCAACCATATATTTCGATAAGAACCAGCTATCATTGCTTTGAGGTTTTAGCTAAATCTTACAGTTCTTATTGAGAAATATTATGTCCTCCACAATTCTCCAATTACCTTCTCCAGAACATGAAGAATTTTTACTGAGATAATTTTATCCTTCCTTTTGCAAAATCATAAAGTTGCTGGCTCACCAGGAGAAGAATGTGCTATTTTCAATCCAATTGAATTTTCTTAAATGTTACCTTCTACATATCAGGTCAGCGCTCTCACTAAGTTCACACATTTTATTTGTTTGCTTCGGCCAAGACATCAGGGCCACCCCCCAAACACACATCTCATCTTGTCTGATGAAATCAGGAAGTGCTTCCGGTGTCTCCCGGATGAAGCGCCTCATCTACTGGGAGGGGCCTGAGTCTGCCTGGCCAGGGCAAGCCGGGACATCTGTTTCAGGCACGACCCACCCTGTTGGCTGAGCTGAGTCGCAGGGGCGTTTAGGATAAAGCATTGGGTCTTCATCAGAAGACTGCTGTGGCCAGGATGTTTGCAGGACAGGAATGCGGGACACACCCATAGGGAATAATACACGCTTGCGAAAAAATGATCATTAATGAATAGTGGGCTAGAAAGGCCCACAGGCCAGCTCAGCTGCTGGCTTTTCTTTTGCTCATTTTTTTTTCTAACTCACTGGAAATAGACTTCAGAGCATTTCTGGAAGAACATTTTCACTATCAGAAATAGACTAGAAGAATAAACTGAGCAGTTCACATACTGAAAGAGACTAGAAAGGCAAAGACAACACAGTGAAGTCTGACTTTTGTCCCAAAGGCACTGGGGATCCTTTATGTGTATTTTAATCAGTAGGTAATTTTCTATAAAATAAAACTTAGTATTTGGCATTTTTCTCCCCCTTACCCCACTTAAAATTCTCCTCGCTCTCACCTAGCACGTTATAGGGAACACCCATGAGGCCACAATCATGAACAAAGACAGAGGCTACAGTGCTTCAAAGACTGGTGACTTGGGGGTCCGTGCCACCTACGCATGCCACTTATTAATTAAAAAGCCTCCCTTCTTGCCCTGACTGGTTTGGCTCAGTGGATAGAGCGTCGGCCTCCAGACTGAAAGGTCCCAGGTTCGATTCCAGTCAAGGGCATGTACCTTGGTTGCGGGCACATCCCCAGTGTGGGGTGTGCAGGAGGCAGCTCTCTCATTGATGTTTCTAACTCTCTATCCCTCTCCCTTCCTCTCTGTAAAAAAATCAATAAAATATATTGTTTTAAAAAAAGAAAAGATTTAAAGCCTCCCTTCTCCAACCTGATCTCAAATGCACCATTTCCATAATATGACATATTGCTGCTGTGTCCATCAGACCTGATGATTTGGTCTTTACTAGGACCCTTCTCTTTTCCATTGAAATAGCTGTATTCAAATTTGGCAGTTTTTATGAGGTGAGAAGTCACAAAATAGTTTATTAAACTATGAGTTAATCATTGACAGGATTATATTGGGCAAAGCCCCAACCCTGTGGCATACTGGGAGCTCCAGGCAGGGAAGGGCACTGTGCTGGGGTAACAGAGAATGAGATGGAGTTGGGAGGAGTAGGTGATTGGGGGGTGGGGGCAGTAGGGATGGAGGAACACTAACTGGAACAGAAAGGGAGGGGGAGATGGTGAACTTGAATCTGGTCCATTTGGGGATAGTTGCCCAAGTGGTTGACTCCAAGTCTCCTCTATGTTAAATCCATTCCCTCATGTGTATTCATATGAGTCTTAAATAATCTGAAGCATTACAAAATGTGTAATTTTGAAATCAAACTTTTAAATTTTTTTAAAGTAATTAATCTTGGGAAAGGGGAATTTGGAGCTGAGCTGCTCAATCTTGAGCCAGGAGTCCTCAGACCACTGGCCAGGACCTGCAGCCAGCCACCGAATAGCTGTCGAAGGAGGAAACAACAGATTTAAAAATGACTAACAGTCCTCCTTATAGCCAACCCATACTCAAAAGTG